TGCACCATGTTTTATGTACTATGTACTGCTATGTGCCATACACATTCTACGTACTGCTACGATTCTATATCATATTGGTGTATGTACTATGTATGTCCTATGTACTTCTATCTACTGCTATGTACTATGCATCTTCTATGTACTGTGTACTATGCACTGCTATGTACTATGCATGCTCTATATGCTATGTACTTCCGCGTACTATGTATAGCTCTATATACTATGTACTTCCATGTACTATGTATAGCTCTATGCACCATGTTTTATGTATTATGTACTGCTATGTGCCATGCACATTCTATGTACAATGTACTACGTACAGCTATGTACTACGCGTCTTCTATGTACTATGCACTTCCATGCACTATGAATTGTTTCTATTTACCATGTTTTATGTATTGTCATCTTCTATGTACTATGTACTTCCATGCACTATGAACTGTTTCTATTTACCATGTATTTATGTATTATCATCTTCTATGTACGATGTACTTCCATGCACTATGAATTGTTTCTATTTACCATGTATGTACTACCATGTATGTACCATGTTTTACGTACTATCATCTTCTACGTACTATGTACTACCATGTACCATGTTTTACGTACTATCATCTTCTACGTACTATGTACTACCATGTATGTACTATATTTTACGTACTATCATCTTCTACGTACTACGTACTATGTGCAATGTACTACGTACTGCTATGTAGTCTGTACTACTACCATAGTGGTGGCGGACCTGGACTTACATCCGGACATTGGACACTGGTCCACTAAGTTGGCATCCAGAAATCTGGACAGATTCAGAAAGATCTGTTCGAATATTTGAATGCATCCTAAGATGTTCGGATAAAGGAAAGAAGGAAATAAGTTATAAAAAAAAAACACATAAGAAGGTGTGATGTCATACTCGGCTTTACTAGCACAGCCAACACAACAACGCACAGTCATTGTGGCCAGGTATGTGGTTCATCACCCTTCTGCCTATCAGCCTTGTGTATAAATGAGATCGGTCAAAGTTGACCCTCTGACCGATTAACTACCAAATCGCTTCAATAAAAATAAAATCTGACCTACTACCAAATCACTTCAATAAAAATAAAATCTGACCTGTTGTAGTGAACCCAGTCTCATGAGAAGCCAATCAGTGTCGTGATACAAATCTGAACCCAGCATGTGCACTTTCCAGAAGCATCGTAACTTCAGAGAAGAGAATGAGGTACTGGGGAGAAAAAAGCGAGGAGGAGAAGAAGAGTCCCAGTAATAATCAATAATGCATGAAGCCTCTTCCTGCCCACTTCCTCCTCGGGCAATATTCTCCCCCTTGCTGCCACCTCAGCAATGAAGTCTCTCTCTGAGGTTCTCTGACAGATACAGTGTGCAGGTCACAGCCGGGCGTCCATCCTCCATCCACCTCAGCAGCCAATCAGGGGGGATGTCGCAGATCTTCCTCACCTTCGAGGAGACAAGCAGCAGATCACACACGATGTCGCCAGTAAGTCAAGGTAAGTTTCCCCTCAAACCCTCTCCACTCTCACAGTCTCGATCCTCCTCCTCCTCGCCCAACCTCAACAACAATGTCTATAGATATGGCGGCAGTGGCCACTCCAACACAATCTCCCCTGATGCTGGCGCCCTCCCAGCAGCACTGGCGCCAGCATAACCTCCAGCAACCTCGCGATATCGTACTAGCATCAAGCCAGCGCAAGGCAGAATGATCTCCACAGTGGCTGGGTCAACAACTCTATATAGCCTTGACTCATTTTGACCAGCCTCCAGTCTCCTTGGGTCAACGGCCCAGATGATCCAAGAACCAATGGCCTGGATGCAGCGCAGTCCCAGCTTTCCCTTGTGTCCCACTTGGACTGGAATCTTCTGGCTACCTGCAGACAACCACTGATGTGCATCTGATCGACGGCCATGGCTGACCAGCGGGTTGACTTTGACTTTGGGCCTGGAATCCCCTGCTTTGGTTGACTCTCGATTTTCCAAGAGTCGACTGTCTCACGTTGGGCTACTGGACGGACACAGCTTTTGACTCGTACGTTGGTACCCCTAGACCCTAGGCACTTTCTCAGACATTTTCCAGACTACCGTCTTCACCCGAATAGAACGCCCGGTCATTATAGCTGTATTCGGGGCAACTCCCAGTCCAGATATAGCGATAATTACCGGACGTTCTATTCGGGTGAAGATGGTAGGGACGTGCCTTTTGACCCCTGTTATGATCCTGGCCAATTTCGAGATACATATCCATCAGAAAGTACAATGCTGTCCAATTGCAGAAAGAAATGAATGAACTTGAGAGGAGAGAGAATATTAGAAGAAGAAGAAGAAGTAAGAAAGAAGAAGAAGATGATGTACACCAGCAAAGACAAATGGCAAGGCTCTTCTTCTTCGCCCAACAATCTCCTCCTCCTTATCTCCCCCTTCTCTTATTCATACAAGAAATAATAATACAATGTTGAATAGCTGATCCAGAATCAATGTCCGAGTCCCTCTTCTACTGCAGGTATCACTTGAGGTCCACCATAGCCATGGCCGCCTCCCCCCACTCTTCACTCTCATAGGCCGAGGCTATGGCGGACTACTAGGCCTTGCTCAGATGCCCAATGGACAACCCAAAGCAGCTATGGCTGCTCTAGCTCAGGCCGCCATGCCCAACGCTGCCTTGAAGCTTCTTGGTGTGGCTCTCCCCGGTTGGGGACTCCCTGCTCCAGCGCCCACCAAGGTGATGAAGATGGCTGCCACCATAGCCAGGTAAGTACCCCTGGCGCTCCTCCCCCTTCCTTCCTTCTTCCTCCCTCATGTCCTTCTCCTTCCTCCCAGCAGCGCTGCACCAGCATAGCGCTGCTCCAGCCAGCGCTCCACCAGTGTGTCACCAAACTTGCACACCGAAAAAGAGGCCGGACTCTCCGCCCGGCCCGAAGATATAGCGGCCTGCTTTGCCTCTTGGGCGGTGACTTCCAGGCCGCTTGGCCTTCCAAGCAACCGGTACCTCCTTTTTGGAGGGAAACATCATTGCAGCCTCTGATATTGCCCGTGCAGGCCCTAGACTCAGACTGGTACCCGCCTACCCTAGTCTACACTACTGGGCTTCTAAAAATGCCACTTTTGTCTTCTTCTGCTCGGCCTTCGGTACCTGCACATCTACCCCTTCCAGGTGCGGTACCAGCCTACCCGCTACTTGAGTGCTTTTCCCCGCTGCAACCCCTCAATGTCGCGGCCACAGGTAAGTACCGGCCCTGAGGGCCCAACAGACGAGCAAGTGCCCTGACGGGCCACACACATACTCATGCCAACCAGCACTCAGACAGGCACGGTCACACACACACCCAAGCCAACCRACACTCAGACAGGCATGGTCACACACACACTCAAGCCAACCAGCACTCAGACAGACATGCAGTCCAGCAAGCGTGCACACACAGACTTAGTAGCAGGCGGGAAACTCAGCAAGGCATTCAGTCTATGAGCAAAACTCAGAAATCAGCTGTGTGTTTCAGTCCATGTTTGGACGGGTCATCACACCCCTGTTTCTGGCCTTTGACCAACAGTGACGACCCTTGCCCGCGGATATGCTGATCTGAACGGGGTCTATTGCACTGTTAACTAGTAAATAGAATCTATTGCAACAGGGTCGCCTTTTGAGCACTGGGTGGTCCCAAATCACTTGAGTTTTGTTCGCCTTTTGAACACGAGTGGTCCCAAATTACTTGCTATCAGATCTGAGGTTTGAATCATTGCATGCAGGATGGGTCTTGCTTCACGGATTCCGTTCTAGGGAACTGAAAAAACAATGACTGCAGAATAGGCCCGCATAGGTCGCATGTTAGCCATTGTTACGCAATTTCTGCTTGAACCCATCCACCAATCAACCAATCAATCACAATTCGATCCATCCATCAATCAAACCATCAATCAAAACCATCAATCAAAACCATCAATCAAAACATCAATCAAACCATCAATCACAAATCGATCCATCCATCAATCAAACCATCAATCCATACATCCACCAATCAATCAAACCATGAATCCACCCATCCACCCATCCATCCATGCATCAATTCATCAACTCCTCCATCCATCAACAGATCCATCAACTCAACAATCAATCAACCAATCCACTGACCATCAATCCATAAATCAATCCATCAAATCCATCAATCCATCAGTCCATGAAATCTACCAACCCATCAATCCATCGATCAATCCATCAACCAATCCATTAATCAATCCAACCATCAATCCACCCATTAATCCATCAATCCATCCATCCATCAATCAATCAAATCAATCAAGCAATCTATCAGCCAAGGAACATGTCAGTCAATCACGTCATGGTCACCAAGTACGTACCTGGTCCATTATGCAGGCAACGGCCAGTGACTGAGCAATCTTTGCAGCAGCAGCACGCTCCTCGATTGTAAATAACAGCTTCGGCCTCGAATTGTTTATCCTCGGTGTCGGAAGATTTGACACCGATGGTGCTGGTATACTCAATGCAGGCTCCCATGAAGACATGTCCCCTGATACTGAGGCCGTAGACTCTGCGCTGTGCTCGTCTGGCGAAAAGGTATTCCCAGAAGGCAGTGATTCCACTTCCGTCCATACAGGGGGCCGATGCTCGTCAGACGGCTGCGACGACAGCGCTGCAGATGATCCAACGGCAATCTGTCGCTCTACAATCAGCAGCCCAGCGAGAAACGATCCGCGTGCCAATGGCAGGACAAGTGCCTGTTTCTCCTCGAGTTCCACAACCTACCACAGAATGAGGCATGAACAAAATGCAGGCAGCTTTATCTGGAAGAAGTCAATATACTTTCCACGACCCTTTTGTCCTTCGGGGCGTTCATTAAAACTTGCGATGATAGAGAAAAAAATTGGCACAAAGATGGGAGAAAAGAAGCAAGAAAAAGAAGCAAGGTAAAGAAGCAAGAAAAAAAGGAGAAAGAAAAAGAAGGTTCTAAGAAGGTTCTTCTTTCCAAGCCACACAAACTATCACACAGTCAATGGCTTTCAGTAGCCAAATGACGTCAACAACTAATCATTGCTTCACTATTCTGAATCTTATTTTTCCTTCGCGTTTACCAAAGAGGGAGAAGGAAAGGGGAAGGGTTAAAAAAAACTTAAAAAAGGGAAAAAAAGAAAAAAAAAACTTGCAGAGGCCAACCACAGTACGCATATAGGAGGGAGGTAGAAAGAGACGAGGAGGGACTCTTGCACTGTTCAGGGTTTGAACTCACAGCCTGCTTATTAACAACAGCTACATGTGTGTGCCATTCAGAATCCGAAGTCGTCAGGTCTCTCCCAAACCACCTACCATCACCAGTGACGCGATTATTCCTTTGCACCACCAGTAGCATCTTTGGGGAACCCGGACTGCATCCTCCGGGGCTCCACCTACCAAACCGAAATGGTTGGCAGCACCAGGGAAAGAAAAAGGGAAAAATGTGTCTGTGACGGTTCGTCTTTTGTAGGCGCACAGCAGAATATTTGTCGGGAAAAAGAGGCTCGGAGATACTGGCAGTTTAAGAGACATATACGTATGAGGATTTAGGGACATGTGCAGGATTTGAAGTCACCAGAACTCTTCCAGAATAATCCACCACCACCATCACGCGCAGCATGTTCTAGCCTTCCAGATGTCGAAAAAAACATCATCCAAATCGGTTGGCATGTTGCTGAAGATTAGTTCACTTTCGTCAACTACTGTTTTGTCGGTGATCAAATATTTTTTGTCGAGTGGCAGCACTACTACCTTCCTTACCCGAATACAACGTACAGTCATTATAGCTGTATTTGGGGTATCTTTCCGTTCAAAACTTCAAATACAGCAATAATGACCATACGGCATACATTCTATTCGGATGAAGAAGGTAGTAGCTCTACTTGTTTTTCTTTATTCTCAGAATTGTTCGATGATCAAACATTTCTTTTGCCGCTTGTCAGCACTAGTACCGTCTTTCCCGGAATAGAACACCCTGTCATTATCCCTGCATCTAGACTGAAAGTTGCACCAAGTACACGTATAATGACCGGGCGTTCTGTTCGTGTGAAGATGACGGTAGTAGCTCTACTTGTTTGCTATCAGTTTGAACATTTGACTTTCTTACATTTGTTTCTCTTTGTTTGTTGTTTGCCAAAGGCCCAAAAAAAATGCAACATTAACTGCTTTGGCTTCATCTTTCGCTTTCATTTTTCACTTTCGCTTTTCGTTTTTCACTTTCGCTTTCACTTTGGCCACAGAGCAAGTGCATTTCCTCACCTCATGCTTGACAAGTGCCTGTTCTGCAAATCGCTTTGGGAGAGACACATCAGCACTGCCAATGTGAAGGATTGCGTCGTGCCGCTCCAGCCCTCGATCAACATCCACATTGTCTGAACCCGACGCAATTCGCCAAAGCTCCAACTGCCCAGAAGCATAGCTCTCCGGTGTCCGCAGATACACCTAATCAATGGGAATCAGAAAAGAGAAAAAAGGGGTTGAAACGGAACTGAGAACTCCAAAAAAGCGGTCGTAAAAAAAACTACAGGATTAAGTTTATTCAACATAACCAGCGCACTTCGGCTAGGACGCTCAGCCCAGACAACGCTGCAACCATCTGCCTGAGAAATCCAGATAAGTATGAAAAAGTAAAAAAAAAAGGCCTGTGGAGGCTGATTCTCCGCCCGAGAACAGTATTGCAAGGAAAATGAGCGATAGTGAATTCCAGAAAACCAAGCAGCATCATACACATGAAACCAGATAGTCTTGACCTCGAACCAAAGCAGAATTGCAACTTGAGCTCCACCAAATAAGAGCACAGCAAAAGCTCACAAGTGACAATGTTGGAATAGTCTAATCATCATCAACAATGAGCCAATGTCGAATCCCTATCTGGCGCTCAGCGCCCAGACGACGAATGGCAGATCCTATCTAGCCTATCTACAATGCCGCTGGTGACGTCAACAGCTTCCCAAAGWACGAGCAGATCTCAGCCAATGCCGTTCGCCTCAAGCACCAGGTATGTCTCACGCTTCACTCACAACCTCGATCCCCCACACAGACGCCATGTGCACCCAAGGACCACCATGCGCCCCATCCAGCAATGCACAGGCCAGCTCGGCTGTGGCTGCCTGCTTCTTCCCTGCTCGCCCGTGAGCGCGTAGGTACTCGCTCCAGCAGCTGGCGCAGCAGTGCTTGCGCATAAGCAGCGAGTGCCCGCATATCCAGCCAGCAGCCAGGCCCTTTCCTTTATGGAATGCGGCTGTCAGTCGTGGGCTGCCTGGCTGGTCTGGGCCTCCCCACGGAAGCTTCCGGTAGGCCCCAAGTGGCTGAGTCCCTGTCCCAGGGAATCTTCCACAGGGCCTGGGGTGGTTACCCGTGTCCAACTTCCAGCGGCCTGTGTTCAGTTCATGCCCCGTGTCTGGCCCAGGGCCTGCCCCGGATAGATTTGAAAAAGGCAGGCAGGGCCTGGGCTTACTCAACCAACTGACGCTGCGCAACTGCCTGAATTTCCCAGCTGCGTCAAACCCAAAATAGGCCTCTCGTCACTTGTCAGGCCTGACTACACTTAGGGCGGCCGTTCTTGCTGAAACAGGGCCCAGTAGGCCTGACGTCACTTGTCAGGCCCTTTCCTTTATGGAATGCAGCTGTGACAAACTGTTTCGTCGGAGTTTCACCGACTCGTCAGGAGGCTGAACCCTCAACAGTCTGTAGAATCCCCTCACTGATTACACTGTAAGTGATAATCCACCTTAACCAAAATCAAAGTAGACTATCACTCACCCACACCAGA